TTGGACACTAGAATTTTGAAGTTCTGTCTCACAAACTTGGGCATGTGGCCAGGAGGGAATGATCCTTGGAGAGGGATAGCGTGCTCAGAAAGGCACAGGAGAGGAAGACCCTGGATGAGATGGACGGATATGGTAACTAAGGCAATGGGAGTACATGTGACAGAGTGAGACTGGCTCAGGACAGGGCAGGCTTCAGAGCTGTTTTATATAGGGTCCCCGTGAGTCATAACTCGACAATAGCCACAACAACAATCTGACTTTCAAACCAAAAGCATGCAGTTTGAATTCACATAAGAGCAAGATGGTTTCTCCTCCCATGGGCAGTATGATTTACTGTCTCAAAGTCTGCTGGAGTATCAGCTATGCGTCTGACAGGCAGAATGCAGACATCCTACTTTTAAGAAGCTTTCCATATGCAGCAACAAAGGAAAAAGAGAAGTCATAAATAAGAGGAGTATATGGAACATACAGCAAACTGTCTCCATGAGCAACTGACTCGTGTGCCATGAGACCAGAACTAGATAGTGCTTGGCTATCACTATTCAACAGTTTGATCAAAGATTCCACAGAAGAATTCTGATTAAAAAAATGCAGAATAGGATTTCAAATTCTCATGGAATACAGATATCTAAAGCTATTAAAGTTGGATAAACTCTGGATACTATTGCCTTGAGATAATACTAAAAATACTGCTTAAATCAAGCACTAGTTTAACATATCAGTAAAGAGCATTGTACTCTTTTAAGTTCTATCTATATGAGATCAGATTCACAATAACTGCAAAGATGAGACAGGAAAGTAATGTGCAGTGAGTTACAAAGCGAGGAACAGCTCAGAAAGAATGTGAGAGTGAATGCATAATTTGAATAATGTGATCAATGTCCACAAATTGTATATGCAAAAACTGTTGTGCTGTAGTGTATGGCAGATATTCTGCTGTGGCTGTTTATACCACAAAAGCAATAAAATAAATTACTGAGAGAAAAAAAAGATTTCTAGCTGCCTTGAGTAGTGATTCTCCAAGTACAGAATATGGCCCTTGGACCAATATCATTCAAATCACTAGGAAACTTATAGAGAATGAATATTCTTGGGCACACCCTAGACCTACTGAACCAGAATTCTTACTGTAGGGCCCAGTAATCAGTGTTTCAATAAGACCTCCAGGTAATTCCAGTGGCCTATTGGAAAAAAAATTGTACTGAAATTCCAAAGACACATGGTTCAAATCCACCAGCTGTTCTGCAGGTGAAGGATGGACAATCTCCTGTCATGCAACTAATTGCCTCTGAAAGCCCACTGGAGGGTCAGCTATATGGGTCAGCTCCATCCTGGTAGTACACAACGAAAACTCTAATTTGTGGCTAAGATTATGGAGCTTCTAGGGAAGATTTAATCTATTATCCCTATAAAATTTAGTCAAATACTTTTTAGAAAAGTCTTAATAAATACTTGCTGAATTTTATCTAACAGTAAATGATAAAGCAGAAATGATCACTGAAGCAGCTGGAAGTGGTAAACTCCTCCAAAGGCACCAGTAGAGAAGTGTTCAGTTTCTTAAGTGAATAGAAAATATATTTTGAAAATAATAAAAAGAAGTCAGATTACTCAGGAGGTTAGTAAAAGCACTACTATCCCAAAAGGGTGCATAGCTGCTTGGTTTGTTAAGTCCCTGTCAACTGAAAATTTGCAGTAACTTTTGCAAGTTCTTAGACTAATGTTTAAAAATTAATTCTGTGGTCCTGGAAAGCCACGCAGAGTGATTAAAAAGCCCTGCTGTTTGCAACATGATATTCTGCTTAGAGACTATGGCTGTGATGTGGCTCTAGTTGATGAGGATGGCTAGATTCTAAAAGAACGTCCTCCAGGTGGCATCTGGGGAGAGGAGGCTCCGGTGATGCAAATGAACTGATCAATTTGCCTGCTGAGTAGAAAATGAAACAAATAAATCCATTTTTAGGAAATTGTTTTCTATCTTGAGAAGTTAAACTGTTGAAGATGTTCTAGGATTCAGGGTATCATCCTTGTCTCACCACATGTCTTTTCTAATTGGCACTCTGAAAGCTTCCACAGGAAACGGGTGTTACTCTGGTACTGTTGATTTAAAGGTTATCTAGTCACAGTAAAGCAGAGGAGAATTCATCTTCAAAATTCACCTCCTTACTGAAAGCTCAGGGAGTGTCTCAGCAATTAACAATTCCTATCACCTCTAGCTGCTCCCAATGTGAGAAGGCTCAGAACTCTCCTTACAAATTGCTCTTTTGAAGATCAAAGGGAAGCTGAATGTGTGTGTGTGTGCTCTAGATGAGACTGTAATTTAATGGAATCTTCAGCTAAGGCTCCGCTAGCAGTGTCTGGATGACAGCCCTGGGGCGGAGGATTCAGGGGAGCTTGGCCACTCTTCCCTTTGGAACATCTTCCCTGCCTTTAATTGGCACCTCATTAGAAATTAATGAAAATGACATCCTCTGTTCTTCCTGCTCTAGGCATCGAATGCTACAAAAAGGTCCATCACAATTCATAACACATTCAATTTCTATAGCAATGGCTCTTAAGCATTATTTATGAGATGTGAATTTCTTGTCAGCAGTTAATAACCTGTACAGAGTAGAAGGGAAATGGGGAAGAAGAAAAAAAAAGAATGAGAAAATATAAATATATATATATATAAATATAAAAGAATTTTCTACAGTGGAGAAGTGGCCTGTTTTCACTTTTAGTAATAAATGACTATGTTTTACCCCCTCTAAAATATTTCAAGGCAGTTAAACATCTTTCCAACACACACTGAACCCACAAGGAAACAGGCTACACATTACATTCTTTCCAAGACAGATCCAAGCACATAAGCAGGAGAAACACAAGCGTTATCTGTCAAAGACAGTTCCAGAAGTGTATGGTGTACTGCTGTCCATCTTTTAAAGTGTGGTAGCTGAGTCAGTAATTTTTTCAGGGCACATTAAGTATAATGCTCTCAGTGGGCCTAAGGGAACCCCCAGATGTTTCTAGTAAGACTAGAGAAAACTCAGGGCTTTAAAATAAAATCTTCTCCAGCAGAAAAGCCAAATATCCTGAACAGTACAGAGTAGGCTCTCAAATTCTTCATAAACCAATGGCATACATGTGAAATAATTGAAGAAGAAAGCACACCTCTGGCAAACTCAAAGTACCTGCCCAACAATCTAACTTCTTGCTCAAGAGGGTGAAGAACACAGCAGAGGACCGTGCACTCAGCAGAGATAGTCAAATCACTGCTTAGGAGCAAGAATGGAGCCTTTCTTTCTAATGGGCATTTCTAGATTCTTTCAAATGGGCAGGAAATTAGGTTGTCTGCATCAGAGCTGAAGGATAAAATGGGAGCTCTGGTTACACCACCCCTGGGTTTCACAGCACTAACTGAATTCTCATTGCTTGCCTAGAAAGGAGAGATGGCATAAGTCACTGCCAGACACAAGAGAGTGTACTTGATGGATCAAGTGCTTGATCTACTCTGGAAAATCCTGTGTAATATCTGGATTCAGTTACTCTGAAGCTGGAAACAAGAACATAAGACAGACGAAAATCCATGATTCTAATTTAGGAATCAAAGGTCTGTATCATGAAAGCGAGAGGCTTTTAAAACACTCAGGTAGGTTGCATCATACTGCTAATAGATGAACTGTTAAACTCTTCATTAGTTAAAAGGAAAACCAAAGAATAAGCAGAACACAAAAGAAATTTTTTGGTCCTGGGGGAGGGATGGGGTAGATTCTCGCTAGTGAGACTCCAGAGGTTTCCTGGCTCAACATAATACCCCTGTCCGACCTACCTCACCAAGAAAGCTAACTTACTTGGCAGGTTTCTCCGACTTCATCAGAACACAGCTCTGGACTCAAACGATTCACAGTAAAATAGCAAGCTAAATAAAGAAGACTCCAGGACTCTCTATGCTGGTACTTACATTTTCAATTAATCACACTAATCTTGGTAAATGGAAGCTCTCATGGCTTAGAGGTAAGGAGTTATGCTGCCAACCCAAAGGCATACAGTTCAAATCCACAAGCTGCTCCAAATGAGAAAGATGGGCAATCTCCTCCCCTGTGATGTACAGCGTCTGAAAACTTGCCAGTGGATCAGCTCTGAGTTGGTTCCAACTGAAAAGTACCTAACAGTAATAATCCTGGTGAATACCAAGCACATCTGAGAATGCAGATGAAAGAAACATGAGTTTCAGAGATTTTCCCCCTATTTCTAACAGAGCTGTAAAGACTTTTTATTCAGGAGATAGTGAACTTCCAGTGACTGGATGAAATAACTGCTCAGCAAACTATATAGCCCTGACTGCTACAGTACTTAGGAACTCTCTATAGTTACACATCCCAGTATCCTTTAGGATGAAGGACAGAGGGTTCTCAGAGGCTAGAGCCAATTCTCAAAGTTGACCTGACGGCAGTATTATGCCACAGAACAATTTTATAATACTATGCTTTAAAATTATTAATTACTGTGCAATAATTTGAAGAAATAGCATTGCACTGGCGAATACAGAAGGAAAAATTCTAAGGTGATAACTAAGTTCATAAGTTATGCTAAAAAAATTCAATTAAACATTAATTTAAAAACAATATGGAGAAGTTATCTTTTAAAGTGTCATAAATAGTAAGCCACTCTTCCAAATTATGGTACACACCTTACAATTCAGCTGGTTTGGTTAATTTATATACGTGTCGTCAATGTGAAGGAATGAGTATTATGGGTGGGAAGAAGATGAAAGCAGTAACCAGTAACAATGTAATTCTAAAGAAATACATGACAGAAAAATTGGGGATATTGGCTTTTTTTTCTTTTGGTCTATGCAAGAGTAAACGAAAGATGTTTAGAAGCAAGAATCCAGGTCCAGATCTACAGCTTTAGCAAGGCGATTAGGATAGTGAAAAACTCCAACCATCTTAAAAATACTACAAATTGGTGCCAGGGTGGCAACATCACATTCTTCACCACATGACTAGGAAGAAGCTTACCACAGCGACATGATCCCAATTCCTGCTGCACCAGCTCCAGTTTGGTTTGGCACTGGAAACACCGACGCCGACTCTTCTGTTTAGATCGACTGGTTTCCTCGGACCGTTCTGTATTCTCCAGTAGTCGTGGTCGTTTCACTGGTGAAGCCTCATTTTCAGAATGTGAATCTGACAAAAACAACATATTTAGTGAACAGGGTTACTGCCTAGCCTGGCAAGCACAGTTGATTAGCTACTTTTGAGCATTCTTCCAAACAGGCTATTGCTCTTTTACAGAAAATGGACCTGTGCGAGCAAGAGAATGTTCTGACCCCTCTGTGACAAGCATGTACCTTTAGGACTTAGTCTGGAAGAGGAAGGAGGTAGCTCAACAAAAGCTGGCTCTACTTTGTTCTTTTTTTAAGAGCTAAGCTAATCTCCACAAGGAGACTATTCCAGTTGAAAGTGGGATCCTTTTTGTCTGGACTCCTTCAGTGAGTTCTGGCTGTTTCCCCCTTCTCAGGTAATTTTGTGTTTTCAAGTAGATCATAATTTCTTAAAGAAAGGTTTATGCTAGTATTTTCTGTATTGTCACGCTTAGTACAACACCATGTCCAGAGTCCGTGCTTGGCTTGATGTTGCTGTCAGGTGCCACTGAGCCAAGTGATAACCCACAGCAACCCTATGAACGAAAGATCTAAACCCTGTCCTATCCTGTCCCATGCTCACACTTCTTGACACGAGAGCCCATTGCAGCAATCACTGGTTGAGTCTTCCTCTCTTCTGCCAAGCATGATGTTCCTCTTCAAGGAAAAGCCTCTCCTAGCAACATGCTCAAGTATGTGAGACAAAGCTTTATCATCTTTGCCTTCAAAAAGCACTATGGCTGCACTTTCTCCACAACATATTTGTTTGTTCTTTAGGCAGTCCATGGATTAGTCAGTACTCAGACCATGGCTCCAAAGGCATTAATTCTTCTTTCATCCTCAATCACTGTCCAATCTTAGACATGTAGCAAGCAATCAGAAAGACCATGGCCTAAATCAGATGCATCATCTGAATCAGATGCTCAAACTGGCATCATTGCTTTTCAATAATCTGGAAAGATTCCTGATTGAAATAAGTCTCCTGATTTTCTGACTGCTGCTACCAAGGGTGGTGACTGTGGGTGGATCCAAGTTAGATAAAATTGTAGACAACTTCAATCTTTTGCCCATCTATTATGATATTGCCTATCACTTCAGTGATGAGAATCTTTATTTTCTTGACATGGAGATGCAATCCATATTGAAGACCATATTCTTTGATCTTCTACAGCAAGTGTTTCAATTTCTCCTCACTTTCAGCAAGCATGTGTCATCTGTATAACACAGGTTATTGATGAGTCTTCCTCTGCTCCTGACACCACATTCTTCTTCACTGAGTCTAGCTTCTTGAATAACTTGCTCAGCATACACACTGAATAGGTATAGAGAGAAAATACAAGCTTGATGCACGCCTTAATTTTAAACCATGTATTGTTCTTTTGCTCTATTAACACAACAGCTTTTTGGTCTACGGATACATTTCATATGAGCACAATTAAGTGCTCCGGGATTCCCATTCTTCTCAATGTTAGCCATAACTGGTATATTCCACAAAGTCAAATGCCTTTACATAGCCAATAAAGCATAACTAGACATTCTGATATTCTTTATTTTGAGTTGTCAGAATCCATCCAATATCAGCAACGATATCCCTGGTGCCACAGCCTCTTCTAAAACCTGTCTGAATTCTGTCACCTCCCTAACTATGTACTGTTCTGTTTTTGAATGATCTTCAGCAGTATTTTGCTCACATGTGATTTTAACGATATTCATTTGATAGTTTCAACATTCTGTTAGAATACCTTTCTGGGGAATGGGAACAAATGTGGATCTCTTCGACTCAGTCAGAGAGCTGTCCTCCAAATTTCTAGGCATAGACTGGTGAGCGTATCTATGGCTGCATCTGTTAGTTGAAACATATCAATCGGTATCACACTGATTCCTGGGGCCTTTTTTTTTTTTGGCCAATGCCTTCAGTGCAGTTTCAACCGTCATTACCATTGCCTCTCATTCATATGGTACTTTCTGAATTTTTTTCAATGTCACTCAGTTCTTTTTGGTGCAGTGACTCTGTATCTTCCCTATCTTCTTCTGATGTTTCCTAGGTCATTCAACATACTTACTTACATAGGTGATCCATAAATTTCTCACCTAACACAGAAAACCAAGCTCGAAAATGAAAAATCATTCTAAATTTATTGAGAAGTTAAGGCATTTCCGCTTGTTTAAAATATGCTGTTCAATAGCCTTCACGGTGGAGTGGTGCAGATAGAGCAACTTATGCTGTAACTCTAGCTGAGAGCTGATCCCAAACTGGCAAGTGGAAAGAGAAGTAGTAGATGACAACCTGTGATACTGATGACCTTAAAAACAAAAATGAAATTATCTTTTTTTTATT